ACAAAAAGAATGATGGCAGCAACTTTTGTGTTGTTCGTGTGTCACTACTAACGCATACAACAAGGACGACATGAAATCCCAGTAGTACTAACATAGTGACATAAAACACTATCACCATTTTTTTATATACGAAAATAAAGAACAGAGATATGTGTCTACTATATTTGTCGCACCTCCCACTACCCAGTCTCCTACGCATTTAGGCTTGGGAATGCCAACTTTATGTCAATTCGCACTTTACCCGTGATTTAGTTGTAACAAATTCCGGATTATTTTACTTCGTTTACAGCTTATTGTGAGAGGGTTTAAAATAAAATAAATTTTTAACATTAAAAGAATTGCAGCGAAAATTTATTGGCATAAACTTTTCCAGTTAACAAAATAAGTAGCGTCAGCACAGCCCGGCTAGTGATCTTTGTTTTTCACAAAAAAAAGGTACATAATACAAAAATGCTCCCGTCAATTTAGGTATCCATTTAGTGGCGATCAAATGGACCATAAATTAGATTGGAGGAATTAACAATTTTCAAAACTTGTGCATAATAAAATAGCAAACAGTGGCAGAATTTGACTTTTAGTTGAGGAGAAGCAGCTTTTAATATTTTTAAAAATAGTAGCAAATAGTAATAAGATTTCAAAATAACTACGCAAAAAAAAAAACTCGAAAACTATCTCGCGACCAAGTAGACAAACACAGTAATACTTTAATACCTAACGGTTATAAAGTCGTAATGATAACGCCGCGCCGTCTTGAAGCTGTTCTATATTGTAGTATATTTTTTTATGATCAGAACTTTTTTATAATATATATTAATTACATATGATATTCCATCAAATTGTTAACGTAAAGAAGCAATATCTAGACCTTTTTGTTATTGTTAGACCGAAATACACATTTACAATGAGCTTAAAACACATCTGATTTATTAATACTTAAGTTGCTTTAATGATCTCGTCTATACCTCGCATGCTGCATTAATTCTGATGTTCGGAATGAGACACAAGTAACACTAAACAGTAGTGTCTTTGAGAAATCCACATTTGTGTAAAAGTTAGTACAATTCAAATTTTTCTAGAAATTTTAAACACCATGCTTGGAGGTTATCGTGAACATTATAAATCACTAATCAAAATGTATGTGTTCTTCCCTTCCCAAAACTTGATGACATCATCTCAAAATTATATTATTAGTGATATAGTGTACGTATTAAAATTGGTATAGGCACCTATTTGTTCCAATTAAAAATTAATGACGTCATCACGACATTTTTGTAAGAAAACCTCACATGCGGCATATATAGCATGCTTCTGCACCTTCGCCCACCTCTATTTTCAGTCTAACATATATATCATTTTAAAAAGGTGAATATAATAATTCAAATTATGTAGTTTATTTATAGGATGAATCACTAAGCGCGCGATCCTCGATATCTCAATAATAATTAGACGTAAAAGACTAAAGTTCTTTAGGCATTATAGTTTAAAATTATTTTTAACTATATAAAGTGTTCTGTTTTTAAGGCGTATACATTTTTACATATTTTAATTCACCTGTTCTTAGGCTTTACAACCACAATTTATTTTTCAGATTCCGATGCGACGTTGCCACGTTATTTCAATTTTCTTGAAATTTTTGGCAATGGATTATATTTGTGGCCTAATATAATTACAAGGAATTACTTTGCCTCACAGAATACCAAATTACTGTCACACTATCACTCTGTCATTGGCGTCAAATAAAATTGTCGCTGTGAAAAGTGATGGCAGAGGAGAATTAGGTATGGCAATTGCGATAGTGAATTACTTTTTTAAAATGAACCCAAAGGTTGTAATAACCCAAATATCCCGCCAAAGTTAGACACGTGAACAAAATTTTAAAACCCGCGAAAAATACAAAATTTGTCCTGGAACAGTAAAGGTCAACAAAATTTAACCCTATCTTGTGTGTTTTTTTTATGGTAGAATGCGTTTAAATGCAAAGTGGTGAACCCAAAGGTCGGAAAAGCGTCCTTAAATCAAAATGCAAGATATGGGGGACAAATACTTAATCCTTTTTGGAAGGGGAAAAACTGTGAAATAAGCGGACTTATTTCCCAGCTGCAAAAACACTCTCCAGCTTCCAAAAATAAAATCAAATGTTACCAATCAAAACAATATCACGCATTTAGACAGATAAAAAATAAATCGTCATTAAAATAACTGGATGCAAATACTAAAGTCATTACGGTGGTGTGGCGGCAAATTTAAATATGAACAAAATCCGAAAACTTTCTGATCAAGGCGATCGAGCTCTCCTGTTTTCAGCGTTGTGTTCTAGCTCGAGATCTACGAGCTACAACACATACCCATATTACATAATTGACCGCATCATCTAGTCCAAGGAGGGAGGGGATACTGCAGTGGGAACAAAAAAAGACCCTCCCCCCTTGCTAACATTGTTGCATTTGACTGATGAACTTCAACTCGTTGATTAATAAGATCATCGCTTTTATACCGGTAACCGCATTAACCTAAAATTTGTACTCGCGAAAGTGGTGATGATGATGAATTAATGAGACCGCAAAGCAAACAAATTTTCGTCCCGCCACACTGTAGCTAGATCTTTAAACATCAAAGAATTTCGATGCTGTTAAATTATGCATTAATTCAAGTTAATGATGAAATCAAAATTAGTTCGTCAACATTACATCATTTAGCTTGAGAATTTCCACATCACATAAAATAAAGCATATATGCAATATAGGAAGGCATATTATTTTAAATACGGTCAAAATCAAAATGATAATTTGAGAATGAATGTTCAAATTCAAACTATGAAAAAATAATTCGGATCTAAGAAACTAACATTAAATAAATACAATACAAAATAAACATAGAATGCACTTCATAACTATTTCTAGTATACATCATAGTGTTAATTTAACTGATGTTAATTTTCAAATTCTCTCGAAATGGATCAACGATTAGTTTAAATGCCATAACTGAACTATTTTAAATCTCGACTGAAAAGTTATGAATGAAGTACCAAGTACATCCAGAACTTTTAGATACCCATTACCTAATTAAAAATAAATTGAACCTGAATAAAGTCAATTGCCGCCGTGTATATTTTTGTATGAACATGTTGCATTGTTATTGTTGTTGCAAAAATTTACAAAAAACTCATATTGTACTAATTAACTAACTTAATTATACTCATTGAAAGGAGATTGTGGCGTCGAATACGATTCATTTTTATTTAAACAATTGCCCTGTATATAAAATACAAACTAAATTAGGCGTATTTTAAATTTTAACACATGTTTTCACTACATTCACTAAACAAGAAGTGACACTGACGCCCGAAAACAGGGCATGAGACCATTTTTAAATTCTACCTGCCCTGCCCTTATTACATCCAATCCCCCTGCCTAAAACCAGGGGTTTTAAAAAAACGTGCATGGTTTTCGTTTTTAAACTGTCAAATGAGGTTGCCCGGTCATATTTTTTTCCGCATAACGCAAAATTTAAACTTCAAATTCAGGACTCCACAAGGTCAGGGACATAAGCAATCTTTTCACAGGGTGGTTAACATTTTACTAAATTTACCAGTTCTGACAACTGAAGATGTCAAGACTTCAAGAGTGATGTTTGATTAAGACTGTTTATTTTCTGCATTTTAGGTTCTAAATTTACAAATGCATCATGAAGAAATAAAACGGACATTGTGAATTAGTGACATAACATTAATTAGGATCTTGCAATAAAACTAAATTAAATAAAGCGTATACTTACTGATGTTATATTATTTATAAATAATAATCTATAACGTGTTACATTTGTAACTGTTTTTTAACGCAAACAACATTTTACATGGGTTCTGGTTCCGACCAACTACACGAAATTGAAAGTTGTGATCCTCGAAATATGCTTAGGTACCTATATTTTGAAAAGGCTTGTAGGTAATAAATATGTAGTTAATACGATAGTTAATATCTTTTAATAACTTATCATAGAAATACAACACAAATTGCTTTTAAAGTTAAAGCCACATATACAGAGTGATCAACAAGTACTATTTAAGTTGGCAATTATCATTAACCAATTGTTGAAGAATGTTCTTGTTCTGCTATTGCCAAACCTGATTCAAACGCTTAGCGCGATCTCACTTTTAAGCGTTCAGAAAGCTAGTTTATGACTTATGGCATTTTAATAATTGTAATCAACAACAAATTTTTATGTAAATTGAATATAATTTTAATCAAAATTCATTGATACCAACTGAAACATTACTTGTTGATCACGCTGTATTTTTTTAGTGAATGAACTGCTTTTAATAAAGATTCTTTCTTTAAAATCGTTGGATAAAACTCTAAACAGCTTAAAATTAATTTTTGTAGTAATCTTTGCTCTAAGTGTTTTTTCGATGGTCCATGCGACATGATAATTTCAGGATACACCAAGATATTGGTCAACCAGTATAAGTGACAAAAAAATAGAACATGTCCAGGCTAAACTTGGACCCACGGTCACTTTAGTTATTTCCCTCTCAACTCGTTTAACCTAACCATGGCCGACTAGTATAAAGATTATGGCCTGTCCAAGAGGTACCATACGTGTTGCCATCTATTAATAATTACACTTAATAATTTAGCAAAATTTTAATTTGACTTAACATTATGGGACTTCAAAACGTGTAATGGTGGTTTGTTTCGGTATGAATGCCTTTGTGGACTTTGTGCCTTTCAAAAAGTGTTAATAATTCTTTTGTCGTTTTTGAATTATTAATAGATGGCAGCACGTATGGTACCTTTGGCATTCCTTTGGACAGGCCATAATCTTTATACTAGTCGGCCATGACCTAACCACCCTGGGATTAGATTTTGTTTATTTTTGTGTCATGGATACTTTTCAGACATTTTGACATTCTGCGAATCCATCCCAAAACTTCACAAATGAGTGCTTTTTTAGTCAGAACCTGACTTTTAGATTACACACCTTATAAATTTGAAAACAATAAATTAAATGATCAGAACATTTTAATTTCTTTATTATAAAAATATTTTAAACATTTCGATATAATAAACACAAAACTAAAACTTATTTCAATGTTAAAATCAACTGATTACTTAAATAAATTTACTGAACTTTAACTCTCATGTGATTCCCTCATTAATGCTTTGGCAAATATGGCCTCCTGTTGTCTGTGCTCTGCTCTATCATTATCCAAATTTAACATTTCATTTGCTATTTCTGGATTTTTTGGTTCCATTTTGTGTGCTTTATCTAAGAATGTTTTGGCACTGTCATATTCTCCAAGATATCGTAAACATTTTGCATGATTAAAATATACCTTGGGATGAATTTTTATTAATTCCCCATTTTTTGTAACATCATAAATTTTTTTGGCATTCAAACAAGCTTTACGAAATTCCTTGTTACGAGTATAACAAATTAACAAATTTGTGTAAACTTTTAACAATAATTGTCGATGTTTCTCGATGTCATCTTTGTAATGAAGGGTGACTTTTTCAAGTTTAGCGGCACATGTATTGTAGTCTATCAAAGCTTTCAAATACTGACGATCACTAAATGATTTTTTCCCCCGTTCACACAAAGCTACACAATATTTATAAATTTCGGAGAACTCTTTTTGTTGGTCTTCTGGTAATTTTTCATATGTGAGTACAGCCCCAGAATGCACAATTTCCAATAACTCCACCTCAAACAACACTGTGGCATTTGAAGGCACACGTCCTAGTGAACAATTCCTACCATACGCATAGTCTGGATGAATCAAAAATTGGGATTTCTCATTGGGCTTCATTGATTGTACAGCAAAATCTAATCCGGCAATAACTCTACCATCATTCACGATAAATCCATAAGGTTTATTTCTCATATAGGTTGAATCGAAAGGGTTCTCATCATATTCCACATAAGCATTAAAATGAATTTTGACCATTGAATATTCAGTCGGTTTATCGCCCGCACCTTCTCTGATTACACGTTTCTTTATCTTACCATTTGGTACGAGACTGGTCATTTTTTTTCCGATTATTTCAAAAGGTTCACCTTCTTCATACACATCTTCGTCAAAAATCCCAATACATTCTGTGTTACACTGTTGGATCCCTTGTTCCGAATTACTCACTTCACCCTCTTCGTCTGACTTCACATTATCTCTAACGAAATCTGCATCCACTCGAAACTCTGTTCCTTCTTCAGCAAGTTTGCTAAAAATAATAGTAAACAATCAGTACACGAAAACAGCAAATATAAAAAAAAATACCTTAGGTCTATGGGTTCCAGTAAACGGGCCATTATTTACAAATTCCACTCGAAATGCGGTTTTCTGTTATTATTGCAGCAAGTGGGATTGAATTATTTGTTGCAGAAAATAAACAAACTTCACGTGCGACTAAACGCAGTACACGATTACCAAAATAACTGAATTTAAGATGAAGATATTTTGTAGCGCACCACCACTGCGCATGCGTTAAGAAAATCAATATACTGGTACGATTGCCCGCCACATCCGCCCGCGCCAACTTCCTCAATGTTCATCGGTTGTAATTACTTTTAAAGCAAAATAATTATGATTTCACAAAGATTTCGCACAACTAATAACTAAGGAAAACATATAATACATATGTATTCTCCCAGTCGCTACATTTATTCGACTGATTAAATAGGGTTTACATGTATCGCCACGTGCTAGATATAATATACAAGACAGTGGTGTATTAAATTTTTTTGAAAAAGAGATGTTGTTGACGATCAAGAACGGCTAATACGTTAACAGTACTCGGGCGGTTTTGCTCACACACAGAATACGGACATTCCTATTAGAGTTTAAATAACTGTTTATTTTTAGCCGCCTCTGTATGAGCACGACGCTCTGACTTGTGTTTTTCCGTTTTCTCCCCGTCCCTCAAGATCTTAAAAAACAGAAGCAATGCATGTACAGGGTTATTTACGAGGAGCTGCGTGCCCAAAAAAATTGTAGACGCAATCAGAAATACAATTTCAAAATCGTCCTTGATATTTCATACCATTTCAAAAAAAGCAAAACATAACTGTTTTGTTGTAACAACGTGGACATAATGTCCGATACTACCATGTTACAATCGACAGTCGACACTTCCACAGAATTGATGCAAAATGTATTAAAAAATTTCATACATGGTGGGTGCAAAGAAATGCGACTAAAATACCGCTCGCATTTAGGCTGATGAACATATCGTAATAAAATTGTAGATTTATTTGTTGCTCCCCACCAAAAAATGTGGTGACGTCCTTTCAAAATTGCTAAGTATATCGTTTTTAAAATGTGCAAAATAGCAGAAGCTTCTATACTTGTGATTTATCAATAGATCCTTATTTTTAAACTAACGTACATGAGTAAATTTTTGGAATAAAAAAAATTGTACAATCAAAATTTACAGTATACGTATTTATCTTAGAAATGACAAAAACCATTGTTCTGAAATATTGCACATGTTTTAAGGTTATCGTGTACCTACCTACATAATAAATAGATAATCAAAATATTATTCCTTCTAAAACTTTAACGAAGTAAATTTCATTTCAAATGTGCGAATTAGCATGTATCTGTACATGTTTTAAAAAAATTATACAGGTTATCTAAAAAAAATAAATTTGTTTTTTCTTATTTTTGAAATTCTGGGAACATACTAATGTTGTTTTGAATATTACACTATACGTATCCAAATTGATATTTGACATTATTAAAAAATTTAAAACAGATACCTACTTTATTATACACTATATCAGTGACTATATCATCATAAAAAAATTGGTCTGAAGACAGTACTTCCCTCGCTGGCGGAAATATGACGACTAAATGCCTATTATGTTTTTTTTCTCATTACATTTTTATAGCGGGGCAATTAAAAAAAAATTGCGATGACGTCATCAACATTTTTGCAAGGACACGTACATTAGATTGGATAGATGTAGTGTAATACTAAAAATAAAAGTACTGTATTCCCAAATTTTCGGAAAAATGAATCTGGTCGCCTTGAATATTGATTTATAATCTATAAAATAACGCAACAATTTACTCACGTATGCCGCGTGTATTAGCCGAGGGGACTGAAAATCATTTATGTATAAGCATTCTTATTAGTTTAAGACAACAAGCGACAACACTTGTTGAGATTGTACACGTGAGAGTCAAACAGAGAAATTATAAACAATACCGATGATCCCCCAGACTTTTTTATTGCTTCGACGTCCGCTTATTATATAAAACATTGGATTTTATTTTAATTAAAACAAAACAAATGCACGTCTGAAATGTTTAAGAAAATGTAAATAAGCGTGCTACGCCTATGTTTCAAACGAGTTTTTACTTTACAAAATTTTGTGTTTATCAAATTGGGTTAGTGCAATATAATACTAATAATAACAGTGTTGTATCAGAGATTATCTCTGGTTGTATCTTCAAATTTTCTGGCAAATAGAGTGAACTATTCCTGATTTAATCAATAAAATAAATTATCTCATTATTTTTTTGAGCGACCTGTTAAGCAAATATAAAAAATATGAATGGAATGATAAATCACACGTACAGACTCATCATATTTTGTACATTTTAGATAGGACATATTCAGTAAAATTTTGGGGTGACGTCATCAATTTTTTAGAGGGGATGAGCAAATACATTTTGATTAAAAATTTCCCATGCTAATGATAACTGTAAAACATCTCCAAGATTTCAAAGCATTCGGTTTTGTAGTTTCTGAAAATTAATGAATGGGTGAATTTATTTAATTGATTTAATTCCTAATATACATAAATACAAAATTTCACAACAATCGCTCCCGTACTTCGGAGATTATCTGTCTAATAAAAATCCGGGACAGCAGACAGACGGACAGACACACGGAAACAGGAGACCTATTTCTTCGTCTTCTAGAGGTCATGAAAGGTCGAGAAAATGTAAAACAAGAGTGTCGGCCGACGCACTCGATTACAATACTTCCTTTGCTTACGCTCGGGAAGTAAAAATCACACAATATTTTAAAGAAAATAATATTACTTGAAAGTGGAACATACGTATGCCCCTCTACGTCTAATTAATAGTCTATCTATTTACCATTTAAATTTTAGGGGTTATTAAAAAAAAAGAATTGCAAAATTAGAATTTATAATAAAATATATCGAAGAAACTTAACTGTTTTTGGTTCAGAGCCAAAGAAATTTCGGTCTGAATAAGTTTAGATTAATTTTTCAGTGCTAATTCCACTTTACATAATTATAAATTTATCGAGTTGTTAAATAGAAACGTTCCATAATTTTCTCTCCTTTATATAAACTCTGTAATGATCACCAAAGGTCGATACATTTTATTTTTAAATTAAGCTGTATATATGTATTAGTATTTGTTAAAATTTGCATAATTTTGGCGATCCTGTATCCAGTTTGACAGTTAATAATTACGGTTAAATAACTATCAAATAAAGGGTCAAACAGCTGCAATTTTAGAGGAATTTTTTCGACCATGTATGTACCAAAGTTTCTTTATAGAGGGGTATTAACCTCCTCCGCCTTCTCTCTGCGGGTTGTCATAATTCCCTAAACACTCTGGTAGAATAACATGGACAAGGACTAAAGTTTCCTTGTTTGATTACAAAGTACCTTCTTCAGGTAGAAACTGTGTTGTAATATCACACAATAAAATATGTTCAACTTAAAAAGTACTTTTCGTAAGATAAAAGTGAATTAATGGAGTTTACAAAGTAATCGCCACATGCGTACAAACCATTATTTTTTAACAAAAATTAATATTTACATTTATCTTCGGTAGATTTTTAACGGGAAGTGGTGTTTTTTTTTTATCAACCTGACTTCGTGAGAAATCTAATAAACTGACGAATATTGATAATTCGAAAATAAAACTAGACGAAACCTCGGAATGAAAGATATAAAAATTATCTTCTATATATTTCAATTTTGGGACTTTTAAATACTTCGACTTTTAAATTTTTCGATTTTTTGATATTTTAATTATTCGATTTTTCAAAATATTGCGACATTTTAAATTTTAGATTTTTTTTAGTACGTGTCACAACTGATATATACGTCCCTCTTCCCTCCTAAAAACTTAATGACGTTACAAAGTTATGTTTAAAAAAGTATCACGCGAAGCATGTGGTGATTTAACTATGGTTTATAATATTGTATCCCTATTTCTACTTCAAAATACACTGGTAGACACTTGAATATTTGTAACTTTACGTTAATCTTTTTTTACTCTTTTTTTTGTTTCCCCATGTGTTAGAATAAAGTTATGATTTCTGTTAAGGCCAGTCGCTACATTTTCTGAGTAGAATTTTCGGGCTATTTTCATGGTTCTGAAGTTTTAAATATATGTTGTCCATAACTTTCTTTATATAACGCAAGGGCAATTTTGTTAAAAACAGTTTGTGATCATATTTTTCTTTTAGTTTTAGTGAAATTTTTGCATAATGTATTTTTAAAAATCAATATCTCAATTATTAAAAAAAATTTCAAAACACGGTTTTCAACATTGTTTTCAGCTTACAAAACTCCAAAACTCATACCAGATATAAGTATCTCAATTTTTTTTTGTTAGAAACGGTACACATTCATAGAAATTGCTAACTTTTATTTTTACTATATCTCACTCCCAACAAATGAAGTCAAAAATAGACCTACTACGATTTCTAAAATTTTGCAAGCTGAAAACAGTGGTGACAACCCCGTTCCAAAATTCCCATAAGTACTCGTAACTGAAATATTGATTTTTTAAAATACGTGATGAAAAAATTTCAACAAAATTAAAAAAATATATGATAATAAATTGTTTAAAAAAAAACTGCGCTCACAGTTAAGTAGTGAAAATTGTGTACAAGTTACATTTAAAATTTCATAATCATTGTTTTAGTGATTGCAGGGCATTAACAACATTTTTAGTTTATTCACTGGTAAAGGATAGCCAAAACTTATGAATATATGAAACTGACTCATTTGTTTCAAGATTTCTCAAAAACATTTCATAGAAGAGAAGTAATGCAGTGTTAATGTTTGCATTAGGTACGTGCATTACAATGAAAATGTTTATAATACGATAAATAAATAAATATTTGTCGAACATGACGCTTTAACGTGTAAATAAAATTTAATACACTTCAAAGGTGCGGAAGTTCCGTCCAAACAACTTTAAACCAACTTTTGTAAATGCCGAAAATGCATTTTCATGTAAGAAGGCCTGCTTGAACACAATATACATACAATTAAACACAATATTCCTATTTGTTATTTTTAGATTATAATAAATTGGTTGAATATAGACAAAAAATGTAACAGATTTTCAAAACCAAATTAATGTTGACAATCTGTATGAATACCTCTACAAATGCAAAATGTAGTTACAAATAATAAAAACTATTTATTTATCAATTCGTTAAGGGTATAATATAAAATATATTTGTCAGTATTTCAAAACAGCAAAACTAAAACTAATAAATTTATGAAAGAAGTGCTTTTCCCAAACTTCTTTCATGACTTCTATGTTTTTCTTTTTCTTCTCTTAACGAGGCTAATTCCTTTTTTATTTCTAAATTATCGGGTTCTAACGCTTTTGCTTGAATGAGTTTTCGTTCAGCAAAGCTGTAAGCACCAGTACCACCGATCATCCTCTGACACTTCGCATGATTAAAATAAACTTTTGCACTGATTTCAAAAGTACCATTCTTAGACATTTCATATAATTTCTGTGCAAAGACACAGCCACGTTTAGGAATTTTAGCATGCGTACAGCAGATGAGTAAGTTGGTATACAATCGCACAAGTAATGCTTCACTTTTTATTTGATCATCATAATCATCTAAAACGGCATCCTCTAACTTGTTAACAGCAGTAGAATACACTTTAATGGCACCTTGATAGTCTTGCAATTTAAACATTTTTTTGCCTTTGACGCACAACGCTAAGCAAGTATTGTAAACTACTTGAAAATGCTTCTCATTAACTGCAGGTTCTTCTTGCTGACCCTGTTCTTGTACAACACATAATTCAATTTCAAACAGAACTACTGAATTAGGCGGAATTCTTCCTAATACTCCATTTCTATAAGCAAGTTCTGGGTCAATTAAAAATTGGGCTTTTTCTGTCAACCTCATTGAACGGACTGCTATTTCTAAACCTTCTATGACTTCTTGTTGCCCAATTTTAAATGTGTGAGGCGTCTTTCTAGCATGAGTTGAATCAAATGGGTGTGCTTCAAGCTGTACATATGCATTATAATGTATGATAACAGATGATGATTCTTCGGGTTTTGGTCCATATCCTTCTTTAAGTATTCTCTTTTTTATTTTTCCATTTGGCAAAAGATCTTCCATATTCTTAGCAATATTCAAAAAGGGTTCACAACCATCATATGAGTCTCCACAGTCAAGGCATTCTAACTTTATGTAATTTTCTAACTGTTGGTTGTATTCTTTTTCTTCTTCTTCTCCTCTGTCATCTCCATTGTGTGAAATTGACTGTACCTCAAATTCTGCCCCCCCTTCTGCAATGTCCCTAAAACAAACGAATTAATACATTTCTTGCCGAGCGTTCCTTTTTTAAAGATGTGACTCACTTAATACTTAATCCACCTACAATTTCTACTGTTTCCATATTTTCAAAAGGAAAAGCATTCAGTTTTTCACTGCATCAACACAACGGCATTCAAGATTGAAGTAGCTAATATTATCTGTGATATTATTATATTTCAGGGAAATCTAATATATAAATACATCACCAACTAAACAATACATTTACAAAACAATCCACAATTCCTGGATATTTCACCAACTAAAATCGTATTGTACGAGAATCAAAACACAAACCACCGTTGCTTAAAAGCAGGACGTGATCTGTCATTCAGTGCTTGGCTCCTTGGAGCACTTGTGGTAGGAAATTATATTTTCCCCTCCGCCGTTGTTGGTAACGTAAAAGCGCGAACGATTTAAATTTATGTCAATGATCTTTTAATAAGCATTCACGTTCGGTAGAAGTAACTGACAGAAATTTTTCTGTGGTTAAGTTGCAATCTTAAGATCACTAGAAATTAAAGATTGGCATCAACTGTCCAATTTTCTAATTCAAATGTCAAATCTGAATTGTGTGGAAAAAAAACCGAAGTTTTTCTAATTTCCACACGCTTCGTTTCAAGAAAATCCTTAAATACAGCATGGAAACAATTTCCATAAAAGTAGTCACGAGAAAGTCCATTTTAAAGGAAAAGAAACAAGAAATATTTCGTGGTTATCAAAAAATTGGGTAAAACGGAAACAGTTAAACTGGTGGCAGAAATATTCTCCGTAAAGTTCGCTGGTGTTGTCGAGTGTTTTTCGAATTTTAAAATAATACAGATACAACGGCGCTGGTGCCGTTAATATTATAATCAGAATCAGAAAGACGACTGCGCAGATTTATATACTTTGTTGGTTCCGTTCTACAATTGGTTTTTAAGTTTTATATGATCGTTATTGTTTTGTAAAAGGGAAAACACTCGGCTTTGAGAATAATTGTACGTAATACACGTATAAATTTAGGTTTCCGAAGGCGAAGTTTTTCACATTTTAAACACGTTATAGCTGCCAGAATCAAATTTCTAAGGCGGTACCTATCTCGAATTGCGTGATTGTGGTGAAGATTTACTTTTCATTTTCTTGGATGAGACATGGATATACCAGAACGGATCCATGGTGAAATTGTGGATCCATGATGATGACATCAAAGCTTGTCCTCCTAAAAAAACTAGTGAAGGGAAAAGATTCAAAATTTTACATGCGGGTTGCTCTTTGGGCTTTTAGAGGGATGCGATTTTCTCCTTCGTTCAAAAATAGATTCACCAGATTACCACAAAACCATCACATTTTCGATATTTGACCTTTACTTACTTACATGTCACATTTTTGATACCTACTTTCTGACATTCCAGTAATACATTATACACTAGAACAATTATGTCCGATCTTACACAGCTTAAAAAAAAAAGTTACCAAATCTAGTTACATCTACCGAACGTGAATTCCTTATATATGTATTAAGTGTGACTTGTATCTTCAAAAAAATGTTTATTACAATTTCATATTAATTAAATTTACAATGAAACCGATTTAGATATAAAACATTTAATCAATATTATTATCGTCGCATGGTTTTATGTCGCTGTTAATGTAAGAAGTTTGTACTATCGCATATACAGGAAGACAGATGTTCCAGGTATCGTGCCGTATAGTATTTCCACCGATACACAGCACCGATAGATTAGCTGACAGAAAAGTCACCAAATAGACCGCTATAAAAAGTAGTGCCAAAGGCGCTTTATTTGAAATACGTTTGAAATATAAGGAAATTTGAAAATAATGTTGAACTACGTAAAATTACTTTTAATAATAACACAATTTATTTCCAACAGACAATATTATCTATACTGGAACATACACTTCGAATAACATTATGTACTTTATATTGAAGTAACAACCTCTGTAGGGCATCTTAAATTAAAATTTTCCTTCTTGAAAGATGAATACGCATTGGCAATCATTTTCTGTGCCACGATGTTGTCAACAACAGTCATACTGCACCGGGTTGAAGAGGGCTACAAAATATAATGGTATATAATGATTGCACAGAATAAATCAACAACTCACTCTTGCGTAATTATGAATTTTATTCGTAATCTCCTCCATGGGGTCCATATGAAACGTTTTTTGACACAAACAACTAAACCTAAAATGTCCAAACTTCAGCCACTATACAAAAAACAGCACAAAGGTCTATAATATCATACCTAACAAATCAAAACAAGTAAAAAAACACAAACGCTAAACGCAAAAAACACACTTTTTAACTTTTTGAACCAAAATTTTAAATTAACGTCAATTAGCTGATCGACCAAAACACAGGTTAAACGAAACCGGCCGACTGGCGCAGGCATAGAGGCGTAGGAAATTCGTTGCGCGGGAAAAGGAACGTTGGTTGCCAACTTAAACTACAACTCTTTAACTGCTTTAAGCGTATAATGTTAGTATATTTTGGATTCTCCGGTTGGCGATTGTGAATTCAAAATTTTCCAATCTATCGCTGGAAATAGTATAGTAGTCACATTTTAAGAATTTGTTTCATTTTTGTTTTGCTGACATTCCTTGTGTTTCTTCGTGTTTACTTCCCGAGCGTGAGCTAAAGAAGTCCGCCGGGTTACTTTCATGTTTTCTCGGCTCAGATAAAAAAAATAAAATTATGTAACATTTTACAATTTAATTTTGGAATTGCAAAACTGAACACTCTGAAATCTTGCAAATCTTTTTAACGTCATGGGAAGCATGGTAAATCGTTAGTTAAAATTTATTCGTTTATGGTTCCCAAAAATTAATGACGTCAGCTTACAATTTTGCTAAATAAATGTTATTTAAATTTTATAAAATAACACACTTCTGAATTTCTGGTTTTATGAATCCGTGTTCAGTTTTTACCCTAGAATGGTTAAAGATCTTGCAAACGTTTTAAGATTATCGAAAGCATGATAAATCGTTAATGAAATTTTATTTCTCCCCTCTGCCCAAATTGTTGTCGTTATAGCCAAATTTTACCATATACATCCCATCTAAAATTTGCATAAATTTTTTCAGAGAAGCGAAGTCTGTTGTACTGTACTGTATACTTTAAACACCGTTATTGATTCACACTTATACAAAAAAAAAATGGTTTAAAGTTATTTAGATAGGCCTAAAGAAGATAACACCAGAAACACTTCTAGGCCCTCTGAGCACCCTCATTTTTCAAAACATACGATTGTACGAAACGGTGGATCCCAACTAGCAATCCGTGCTTGCATCTTTGTTTTCTGTTTCTTATTGACATAAGTTCTGTTACATATATTTGTTTCTTTCTATACTTAAATTATATGGTATGGTAAAAAAATGAAAAATATGCCTAAATTGATAAAGGAGACGTATATATTATCAATTTTATTTAGTACGCATTTTAAATAAGATTTACTTCACAAAGTTTTGAGGTGACATCGTCAAAATTTTGAAAGGGTGAATAGAAAAAAAATTAATTAGTGATGTTTCAGGTTAATGATGTGCTAAATTTCAGAGTTATTGTTTAGTATTGTGAATTTTGATTTTTTTCCAAAATGGAGGGGTAAAAATAGGGATGCATTGATAAATCACAAGTGTGGGCGCATATTACTTTCCACATTACTTTTTGTTTTACATAAATCTGAAAATGTTTGTCGTACTTATAAAATATTTACCAGTGGAACTGAGTATATATTTTTGTAGAATTTTTACTTTTTAATACATAGAAAAAGCGCAATAGTTCTGTTAGTATCTACTAACTAACAATAAAGATTAAACATTCAGGGAGGGTGCCATTACAAAAATAAGGGATTCAAAAAGAAAGAAAAAATAAAAAATTCTTAAATATGTAATTAAAATATTAAATTCGTATTTTAAAACATTAATATACGTTGTAATTTGTCTCCTACAGAGCCTTGAAGATGAAAAATTTCTTCGAAATTGGTTGGCTATTAAATAAATCAAAATACTGAAACTTTTTACTGGAGAAAAGAGACCACCCCCCATGTCTCGTTATTCAATAATGAATTTATAAACTTTTAGTCAAAAACAAAATAGAAAAGCATCAAAATTGTCGCAATGACTGTTGTAGAAATAGTGAAAAAATTAATCTTATACAACAGCTGCAATATACCTGACGTCACGTTTTTGCCTTTACAGTGTGAAAATATACCGCTGGTTTATTTTCATTAACTTCTATTTATAATTTTGAAATTCGCAGTAGAAAAATGTGATAAATATTTTACATATGAACACTCTTATTTCGTTCAAGCTTACTAAATGCTTCAATTCAAATGGTACTTAAATTAGGACTTTAAAAGTAAAGCTCATCCTTTTTGAATTAATAAAACCTCATTTTGTAAAAAGAAATGTAAAAGAAAATTTGGAATGGTTTATTTAAGACTTAATTAAAACAGTTATTGTTAAAAATGACTTTTTATCAGTATTAAGTTATGTTTTCAGTCTTCAAAGATTGAGTTTTGCATGTTTTTTATGATTTTATATATTGAATTAGTAGGTACATTTAGCACTTTTGGTAAAGTTTCTATTCTAGCTTGTATGTTGTAGATACTCATGCTTTACTCAAGTGAATGAATTTTCAAACTCGGGATACCTAAAACACCATGCACAATATACGAAAGGTACCGTATTGCCAAGAACATCAACAATGTGAAATGGACTCATTATGTGTTTGTCCTATTACTAAATGTTTAGAGTTTAGATTGACAAATGTGAACATAAATATATTGCAAAAGACGTGTGGCTATTCATTTTTCATTTGTATAAATTGCGTTGAAAGCAAAACTTTATAGCCATGAAAAATGAGTAATATTTAGTAATATTGTATTTTTTTCGCCCTAAATTTTGGCATGAATGGCGAAAACAGTAAACGAGTGAATACATGTGCTTCTCTTTTCTAGAAGTGGTTTCTTAAATCTACATAAACCACTCCAAGATTATTTCTTTATTATTATTTCTTCAGTATATTTTTTTAAACTTGTGATTTTTGTTTTCAATTGCCCTCTTGTAGTAAAAATATTGGTGCGCTATGTAGGTATGTTGTAAAACGATGGCACATTATAGAGTATACCACAAATTTCATATCGTATTGCGTGAAACAATATTGCAATTATTGTTTACAACAACACGACCCGAGTTTTTTGCTTGCACGTTTGTTATAGTCAGGACTTTGAGATAGTTCTTGTTGTTTGTACGCATATTTTAGATTTTCTAAATGGATTTTTTCATTTCAGGAAACTTCTTACTACTGCGGTTAGCATCAGCCGTTACAGAATTTCACGTAACCAGTCCACTCTTTAGTCCAACAAGAAATTCATGCAGACTTCAAGTTTGGATTTATCAAGAAAATATGAACGACGCGGAAATCCGTATTGTGGGTGATAAAACAATTAATCACTCGCAGTTCATAAATAATCACACGCAATGGGTTGTAGAAAAGATATTTGGAGATAACAGCAGAAAGTATGTTTGTTTTGATTAGAACTTTATTATTAGATCATTGTTATTATTACCACCTAAAGATAATAAGCACACGTGAAGAAAAATTAAGGAAGTTGTTTATGTCAAATACTTTAGAAAAGTTATGTGTTGTTATTTGCAGAAAAAGAGTTCTCACGTTTTTGTGTTTATGAAAAAATTTTAGTGGTTTACGTAATTTGTAAATTTATTTAAAACATAAAAAAATGCGGTACAATTTTATTTGTTAAAATTAACGCTCTTAGATTTAACATATTCTTCTATTAAAACCGATTAACAAAACAAGCTCATAAGCATTGTGGTACCGAACGTGTGAGGTTGTCGGTACTAAGATTTCTGTAGAGGTCCAATTTTTTTCAGGTGGACAAAATACGAATCTCCCATCGGCAAGCTATCGGAAAATTTTACCATAATTTTGGAAGTTGTTCCGTCGCTGACAATAACACATGGAGCTACTGTAGCCTTTGACAATATAGCACTGACTCACTGTTACCCTAAGACAGACGATACATGTACTGCACAACAGTACCATTGCAAATCTACAACAAATTGTATCAATAACACCAGTATTTGTGATATAACAAAAGATTGTCTACATGGCGATGACGAAAGTCAAAATTGCGGTAAGTTCTGAGTATTAGGTTCAATTTAGCTACATTGTATAATATTATTATGCAGATCGTATGCCCTTTGGTGCTCGATGCACTTTTGAAGAAGACTGGTGCGGATGGTATAATGTGGATGGGAAAATATTGGAATGGTCTCGTCACAATGGTTCAACCCCCACAAATTTTACTGGACCAAATTATGATCATACTTACAAAAATAGCACTGGAAAATATCTTTACGTGAACATGCTTAAAGAGGACGCAAGCTTTGCAAGTTCTGCGACTCTTAAAAGCGTTATCTTCAATCCACCTCCACGAGTACATGGAAATTCATCTTCGAGATATTATAATTCGTGTGCGGTGAGTTAAATCTCTGGAAGAAATATACAACGAGTTTGTTATTTTCTTTTCACACACAGATCCGATTTTATCTCCATCAGACGGGTAAACATAAGAGTGGCATACTTTTGCAAGTTACTGAATTAAAACGTACTGATAACTACTCAACTGATATTTTATGGAGTTATATTAATCATGGTGATCAGTGGATTCGACAAGTTATTATTTTACCAAATATTACTCATAGGTGAGAAACATCAATCACACAACGAAATTGAGTTAATCAATTTTGTGTTTCAGGTATTTTATAAATTTTGATGCTAAAAAAGGGTATAGATACATCAGTGACATCGCAATTGATGATGTTTCATTGAGCCCTGAGTGTTTCGGTCTAAACATACCTCCGGAAGAGTTAAATGGTTACAACTACTGGAATCCATTCATCGGTGAAAACGTAACGGGAAGAGAACCACATAAAAACTTTGTTAATGAAACCAGTACGTTTGAGTGATGTTCCTTCTACTTTGTTTAAATCATTGAGTAATTGTTTTACAGGTTATCACATTATAACATGTAATGCAAAAGGTCGGTTCGGTCCTACTCAAAACCAGTGTGACAGGGCCTATAACAACACCAAGGTAAAAGTCAAAGTTTTACACGAAACTGGACTAAGTGGTGTCCAGAAGTGGATAACTCCAAGTGATGGATTTTATACGTAAGTTATAGAAATGTTAACTTGTTCTTTTATTACCTACTACGAATTTACAGATTCATCTTACTTGGTGCTAGCGGTGGTAAAGGTAGTGGTGCTATGGGTTCATCAAGAGGTGCTATGGTGAGAGTTGTCGTCGACTTGAGAAAAGGTCAAGAAATCCACGTATTAGTTGGACAAGAAGGAACAAACGCATGCATAAAGGTTTTAACTTGGTATAAATATTTCCGAGATAAATTTATCTGATTTCTTATTAGTCTTTGGGCCATGAGGGTAACAGTTCATCCTGCGTAAACAATAACGACGTAACTATCAATGGAATTCGTGCCATTTTAAAGATGGACATTAAAGATGGAGGAGGAGGAGGGGGTGGTGCTACCTACGTATTTGTGGTAACGCCAAAGAAACAATTTTTTTTAACCATTTTAATGTTTCATTTTAGCGTAACAAAGCTAAAAAATCCATACCAATAGCGATAGCTGCTGGCGGGGGCGGACTAGGTTTAGGACGGTTTTTCGACACCGGAAAACAACATGGTCAAGCAATTAACATGTCAAAACCGCCAATTACAGGAGTCATGTATGGAGAACAGTGAGTGTTATAGCAAACATTCTTCTAATGCCGTTGTAAATATTGTGGCTTTTCACTAGATCTGCAGGCGCAGGTGGTGGTTGGGAAATGTTTAAAGGCCTTGTGGATGCTACTCATAGGCAAATGATGGGACGTGCTTTGAAAGATGGTGGTATTGGTGGTAAAGCATGTTACAATTCTACAGATAATCGTGGTGATGGAGGGTTTGGTGGTGGAGGTGGTGGATGTAGATCTGGTGGAGGTGGTGGTGGATACGCCGGAGGCGACGCATCTTCTGCAAATACTACAAACGGTGAAGGAGGATATTCTTTCTTAGATCCGACTCGCACAATACCCAGCTTGTCCGAGGCACACTCTGGGTACAATGTTGGTCCTGGTTCCGTTTTGATAATCCCTGCGATACCCGGCTGTGACTGCAACTACCGATGTGTAGCATTGGATTCTAGAATGTCGCAAACTGCTTGTATCTGTCCTAAAAATTGGAAGCTAGATGTTGATGGTAAAACTTGCATAAGTAAGTCTGCACTGTTTTAGTTGACAGTAATTTAATGTGAGACTTTGTAGCTGTTCCAGAAAATGCGACAGGTGACTCGTATCCCCCATGGTTTGTGATTATACTAATCGTTTCGGTGATCTTCTTGACAACTTTAGTAGCTATCATTTGCTTCATTTTATGTAAGTAAAAATCATTCGCCATTCGTTCAGTCCATTCATTTGCGTAAATTTGACAGATAACAGATACCAACATCGCGCATCCGGAATTTTAGGGAGAAAGATGCTATCCGGAGCTGATCTTCAACTTGATCGACTTCGAGTGGCTTCTGACAGTATGATGACAGAATATAATCCGAACTACGAATTTGGAGGAGTTGTTTACACACTGAAAGACTTGAAGGACATTCCAAGGGAGCAACTACGACTCGTCAAGTAAGCACGCATTAGTGTTAGAGTGACCTATTATAACTGTTATTTGTAAGATAGCATTGCCTGATTTATATTGATTTTGGTTTGTATTTGTGCAATAATAAATTTTTATTTTAGCGTGAATTTTTGTTTTATTTATTTTTTTGTTGCTTGACTTGAAGTTTGCAGTTCTTAGGTGTTTTCTTGTTACTGACTTTTAACGAAGAATAATTAACCTGCTTTTTTTCAGAGCTTTGGGACAAGGTGCCTTTGGAGAAGTGTATCAAGGTTTTTATCGACAACGGCCTTGCGATACTGTTGAAATGCCAGTAGCTGTCAAAACTCTTCCTGAAATGTCGACGTCTCAGGCTGAAATGGACTTCTTAATGGAAGCTTTAATTATGTCAAAATTTAATCACCCCAATATCGTCCATTTTATAGGAGTTTGTTTCGACAAACATCCAAGATTTATTGTGTTAGAATTACTAGCTGGGGGAGATTTGAAAAACTTTTTAAGAGAATCCAGGCCGAAACCCGTTAGTATTAAAATTATTAGGTGATCCAAAAAATCTCATTCGCGATGGCGTTACGAATGAATTTTTTTGGTCGCACCGAGTTGATACTTTGAACATTATTAACATCTGCGTCAACATTTTGTAGGAACGAAGTAGTCCTCTTAGTATGAAGGATTTAGTGCTGATAGCTGTTGACGTAGCAAAGGGATGTAAATATTTAGAAGATAACAGGTTTATTCATAGAGATATAGCAGCTCGAAATTGTTTACTGACCACAAAAGGACCTGGTCGTGTGGTAAAAATTGCAGATTTTGGTATGTCTAGAGATGTCTATAGGTAAGAATGTATGACATCACAAGTTCTGCATCTTATTTTTAATCAAAAAATAGATCCGACTACTACAGAAAAGGTGGTAAAGCAATGCTTCCTATAAAATGGATGCCCCCAGAAGCTTTCTTGGATGGAATTTTCACTAGCAAAACTGATGTTTGGTCGTTCGGAGTTCTTTTATGGGAAATTATGTCCATGGGTTATATGCCTTACACCGGCTGCGCGAACAGAGAAGTCATGCAACTTGTGACAAGTGGAGGAAGACTAGATCCTCCAGCTAATTGTCCAGGTATTTGCAAACTATCAACTTGAATTGTGACTACAACAGTTCTCTGTTAAAGGACCAGTTTATGGGATTATGACTCAATGTTGGCATCCGGCTCCTGAACAAAGGCCAACGTTTGCTACAATTCTAGAAAGGCTCGGGTACTGTGTGCAAGATCCGCAAGTGATGAACGCCCCTCTGCCTGTGTTCCACAGGCCTCCCTCCAATGAAAGGGACGTCACGGTGATGCGACCTTTAAGTTCTGACGAGAACTGCCTACAAGTGGTACCTCAATCTTCGGATTACTTAATACCAAATCATACGAATGTTTCGAATACGGTGGGATCCACATCGTCAGTTGAAAAATTATTGCCTGAAAATTCGGACAGCTGGGAAACTTCATTCATAATGCCACAGTCTAGATCTACACAACCTCTTTTGTTAGAATGCGAGCAGTCGAAAGAAGACGAAGGAACCAGTTCCGTAAGGGCAATCTCTTGGATGAGATTAAAGTGATCGTTCTACCTAATCCCATTTCAGATGGATAAGTTGGTAGCAATCGATGGGGCGGTGTCAAAAGTCTCGCCAGTTTCTTTGTCCAATAATATGGTTGGTAACCACAACAATAACGTGAAAGTAGACGTGAGCTCTCTGAAGTCTGGAATCTCGTTAGATGCAGGAGCTTTAGCGAAACAGTCCCTGACTCCCACTCAGAACAAATACTCAAATTTTAAAACAGGTGATGCCGTGACTGGCAATGGTGTTTTACAAAATGGACCTGTTTCACAAAGTAGTTACCTTAATGCAAATGCAAGCAAATATTTAAATGAAGCAGAAATAAATTGTTAAATCAAGTTTGGAAACAGTGTGCATTTTATTGGATCTGTTGGGATTTGCATATCTACGATTGGTGATTAATTTCAAGGTATGTACGTACAATACAAAAATGTATATTTTTTAAAGAATTGTACCTATAATTTGAAACATGAAGAATGCAATCATTTTAAGCTCATAAAAATTGGTTGTGCACTAGGAAAAAATCCTTTTTACTAGTTTTTGTTATACATTTTCTAAAACTGCGTGTCACGGAATTATAACGGTGTGAAACATTTAATGTAACTACCGAGTTCTCTGTATTGTGATGTATGAGATTTTGTATAAAATTCGTTTGATAAATTTTGCTCAGTTAAATAAGTATTATTATCAAATGAAAATATTTTACTGTAAACAGAGTATATTGTTAGAATAAGTAGTAATGAGTATGTATTGATGCAGGATATTTGTTGAAATGCCGCCTTTTTCGGAAAATTTCAAAATATCCTGTATTTTAATGTTATCACTATATTAACGTACTTAAGTAATTATTATTTAAGTATGAATGAAAATGTTGGGATGAATGTTTTGTTTAAATATTTTATACATGTGCAATAGTATTGGAAAAACTTTTTTTTAATAAAATGTTATTACATAAACTGGTTGCGATAGACCACTAAAAATAATATTTAGATGCTATTTGTAGAATGTAATTATAGTATTGAAGGCTTATGTTCTGAAAATTTTTTTGTGTATTACTCATTTGACACCAATTTATGTTTCAGTGTAAAAATAGGAGTAGCTCAATTTTTTATGGATTTTTACTTAATCCTTGTCCACTTATATGATATATGTATATTACAAAGGATGTATATTTTGTTAAAATTTTTTATAAATTACTTGGTACTTTCCCCGTTATAATATTTTGTAGAACATAACACAAATGAATAAAAAAATAATGCTTTAAGTAATTTTAAGAGATGTAAATAATGAATGTAATGGTATCCCAAAATGGAATGTTCATACTCTAGAGATTTGGAGCGTTCGTTTCAGAATTAAATAGATGTCCTGTAATTTGTTGAGTTTATTACTAAGCTTAATGTAAATATTAAGCATTTGTTTTAAAAGAAAGAAATATGTTACTATATAAATAAGACTGTTTTTAAAATATTTAATGTGGACGTGAATTTAGTTCCGAAACGAGCATTTCTTTTGATGTAACATTTTAGAATAGAGTGTGTTATCTATATTTTGTTAAATTCCGCAAAATATACTAAACAGACTGTATTTTAATGTCACATAAAATATATAGGTGTTATAACAAATTTTTAATTGTGTTGAACATATCGTATACAACTTGATAAAAATCTAGTTCCCCTGAATATAGCTTTAAAAAGAGTAAACTACGAACGGAAATTCAGTTTAATTCCATTGGTGTTATTATAAAAAGTGTCATGGAATAAATTACAGAAAATTCATTAAACAAAAGTTCTTTCAAAATTTGTTAAAATGTTTTGTAGCCCATACTTTACCATATGCCGATGTTTCAATAATTTTAGTAATTATACAAACTTTAGAATTCTTATCTTACAACTAAGTGAAGAGATTTGGTTTTAATTATTTTTCTGCTGTTGTAACTGCAAAAGTGGTAATAAGATAAACGAAAGCCATTTCTAACTAAAAGTTTCAGTATATGCCAACCGTATTTTATTTTATTGAGGAAGGAAATAATATGGAATATAATATAACGTGGTAGAATTTCCGGAATTACCTAGTCGAAAATAAACACTATATTCAATTGCACTGAAGTAAATAAAAACAAGAGGGAAACAATGTTTCAGAGCAAAACCAAGACAAATTGTTTTTTTTTTTACTAGAACATGATTATACTTAGTTTATGTTGGTAAACACACAACTCCACACTGCAGAATATTGCAGAGATACTGCCATTGTACTCAAAACTACACAGAATTAATACTGAACGAAGTAATGGTAAACCATGGACAATATAAAAAACGTAAAATACCTAGACATCGTTCAAAGTCTGACCTCGTTAAAAACCAAATAGGAAATTAGATTGTATAAAAGGCAAATTAATTCTAATTTATGCATAAATTTAGTTGACTCCATTCAATTTTCTTTCAGCAGCCAAGGTTATTGACAAAAATAGAGATATGTTTATCATCTTTATTGTGTTTTATTAAAATTTAAAATGAAAGTAATTTAGCAGTTAAAAAAATTGATGATGATCATATAGTAACTATGTAGCACTATTGCAATGATCCAATTTTGTCGACAAAACGTCATTACGGAAGTATAGTTTTTTAACTGAAATATACTGGACTATAGTGTATTTGTTTACAACAATTAATGTCAGTAGGGAGCAACACGCGTACCCAACAATAGCGAAAGGGCATGAATAAAAATTATATAGTTGAAGCAAGTATGCCTGGAGCTACAGTGGCCTGGACGTACGACTATTTTGTTGAGGAGTCGTAGAATGTCAGGAAGTGAATATTTTTTATTACCTGATTATTGCGTATAAATATTTAGTACATAACAGTAGTTAATTGGGGTGTTTCATAATCATAACACTCTCGTGACAATATAAAAAGGAGAACCACACACGGTGAAGGCTCAAATGCTCAATTTCAAACTCTCTGGAATCTCCCTTTTACATAATAGATTTTTGTAAAATAAAGGTGTAGTACTTTTTTTATATTCACATTTTTTTTATTGACTATAATGAAATAAACTTGTAAGTGTTTCATATCATTGTAATGTAATCGTAATTTAATGATCTATAAAAATACGTTATAAATTAGAATTATACCTTGCAATTAAAAAAAAAAAATAAGATTACGGCACGACGCCGAAGCCATATATCATATTTGTAATATGTACCTACTAAATTAAGCTTCCCCCTTCAAATTAAAAGCAATGGCGTTTCCAGAATTTCAATATCTCCATCTCTCGTTTTCTAGATATAAGGCCGCGGAGTTTTGTCTGGGACAGCCTGAATATGTATTTATAGAAATTTGATGAAATTAGGTATCGACAGAATATTTCTGATCTCGAAGTTTATTAGTCATCTAAATTCTCCGCTTTCCAGTCATACAAGCTTATTATCCGACAAGGGGACCGGCTGAATCAGTAGGTAAGTAGTCGTAGTCATCTATGATGTAAGAAACGATAATAGTGTAGTGGCAAAAAAGTCTATAGTGACACAAAAGGCATTTTTTTGCTGAGCTTCATGAGTTCAATACGCAACAAAACATTAGTTCTTCGAGTTAATCTGGAGGCGTTTTTTTGGGGCATGGTAAGTACTAAAACTATTTGGTTAAGTGGATACTTATCGACGAGTAGTTTACCTAATTTGAACAGACGACTAATTTGAGCCGGGGAAGGCACAATGAGCCCAAAGGCGAAGCCTAAGTGCCGGTTGACTAAGGTCAGCCTCCGTATTTAGAATCTAGAATCCAGGAACTTAATTTAATTTAATACTTTTGTTACAATTACCAGATATTCAGATTTGAAAAAAAAAAATGGAATGGAGCTGTCCACAGTATGGCCGAATTTTTGTAGAAGATATTATTTTAGTATTTTGGAGCCTTGTAGATCATCATCTTTCATCACACATAGCTAAGTAAGTAAAGCCGCCGTAGTTCGCCAAGTTAATGTTCAATACAACATCAAATAAAATTTAATTTAGAAGATGATATTCCTTGAGACCAACTAACTAAATCCTAAATCTACTATGGTTTACATCATTTAAGTATTTAAGACACCATCACTTTTTGTTGACTTTTCGGTCCAAGACAATCTTATCAATTTATCAATTATCACCAAATAGTGCAGACGAACAGGCACAATGTTTAATCATGTCACTGATGGTAATATAATCTGTATTTAGGTAGGTACATACATGATATACAAGTTTAATACAGTAAAATTATAATTTTACAATCTAATCCCCAGATATTTTGACAACGCTAAAAATATATCTGGAGGTTGATAAGCTGCTTGTAGGCAAAATGCTTTTTTATTGGTATATCAAGTAACCACAAAAAGGATTATTATTAGCTACAATGACATTACGTCGACAAAATGTATCGATGTAGGTATTTATCAGTTTTAGGGAAGAACAAAAAAAAACATAAAAACAAAAACTAAAAGTTTTGGAGCATATTTTACTGTAATATACAACCTTTGTTTGTAGAAAGCTGCTTTTATAGGGTACCAGCAAATCACTGTTAGAAATGATAATAAATATCCAAGAAAAAAAAACTGTTTACGGTAGACGTTGCCAAAAACTTCGTAACAAAGCTTAGAGGTCGTGAAAAAATGTTGTTGGATACACGTTATTTCTAAATGCCATGTGGGTAACAAAATCCCTAAGAAAAGTTTAAATGAGGAACTCATAACAACACATTACATATGATTTCAGACGCAACTACGGAAAGGCTGTAGAAAGAAAATAATTATTTCCCAAAGTACTGGAATTTCATTATTTAAGATACAAAAGTAGTGAGGCATTTTGTTCAAAACGATTTCTTGTGAATACTATTTGGGTTAATTAAAATCAATGGAGGCAATTGTGTATGTTTCAACAACATGTCGAACTAGATAGGTAATAGGTAATTTTTCTGTTAAAATTACCAACGTTAAACGGTCCGTTATATTGTTGTTGACTGTAAATTTTCCTTCAATTGATGAAAAGTTTGAATTATTATAACAGCGAAAAAAAGGACCGTAATTGTCAAGCTTTGTTGGCGAGAGTTGTTGAAAATTTTAAAAAGATTTCCAGACTGACATCTGCCTGACAATAGAATAATAAAAATGCCTATCTTATAAAAGAATACAAAATCGGTATAAATGCACACAAAACTGATTTCAACTCGGAAAGTAATAATAAAAAATTAACCATACTTGTTAGTCATTCACGAATGATCTCCCGCATATGAAGTGTGTCCCAGTCTTCCTCCTTATATGTTTTAACCCCTATTTGTATTTTTTTTCGTTAAGCCATACATCTTTTTCAGGCCGTTGTGGTAGACACCGCCAGCGTGAATCATGTGTCCTTAATTATAATTTATTAATATGAATATTTTCACTTATTGTGACAACAAGACCGAGACAGATAAAAAAGCCAATTGTTACAGTAATTAGTAATTACACACATATTTCCCACCATTAATTTGGTTGTTTGTAGGTATCTTCTCAATTCTTTTCAGTTTTATTTAGCAGTCATTTATGTGTCTCCTGATAGTTCTTTTGCTAATCTGAAATTACTTTTTGAAGGTCTAAAGCAAGTGTTACTGAATAAACCAACCTTATTTGTTGCAAATCAAATAAGGTTGATTTCTTCAATTTAACACACTACAAGAGTAACAATTTAACACATAATTCCCCATCTAGTAAAGATCACTTGTCTTCTATCTTTTGCAACTAATTTTACACAACGTAATTCTATATTCTATATGTACTAAATGCTAACATACTACTGGACTTAATTCTATCAAATTTTGATTGTAATATCTCGGCATCTCATGCAGAATTCACTTTTGTACCTGACTATGCTCATCATCCTGCTTTGACAATCACTGCTGACGTTCTTGTCCCTAAATAAAAGTGGAAAGTTATATCTGTTCTGTTAACTTTTTTCAATAAATCAACAGCTAGAGATGAACTTACACCTAGTGTTTGATATTCAGTTTGTTCTTGGCAAACCTCTTGCACTTATCATTAACTTGGCCATTAAATCAGCAATATTTCCAGATAAATGGATGGTAGCAAGAATTACTCTGAAATGTGAATACCACTTTATAAAAAAATCTTCTGACTTCGACAAAATCTTCGAAATACTCATTTATCGAATTTGTCATTATAACATTAAAAGTCATCTCTCCATTCATCAACATGGATTTCTGCCGGGTCGGTCCACAAAGTTTATTTCCACTTCCGTTGTTCCTCAACGGACTAATTTGGGCCTTTTGTTGTTCGTTGTTTTTATCAATGATTTTTCAAACCTTCTATATTCCTTAACAAGTAACATAAATATTGTCAAAATCTTTCAAACTAATTTTGATAAAACTGTTAATTACATGTTAATAGTATGTATTTCCCCAACGTCATTTAAGATGCTTGAATTTATATTTCAAATTTAAGTATATGGTTCCATCATCTGGAATTCCTATTATGCTCTTTAGGAATATTGTTACGAAATAAACCCATGGGCCGCCTCAGTACGACGCCTATGGGTTTTCTCGAAGGCTTTCTAGTATGTACGGCAATGATGGGTGAGTCATCATCGGTGACGGCGGCCGGGCGGCGTTCGCATAAAGAAGCGCCTAGAAACGATTCTCCGGAAGTCTCGGCGGAGGGTTCTAGAAGGCGCTCGAAGCGACGACGGCGAACTATCCAGAAGGAATGAATGGGTTTAAATAGAGATCACCGTTGGGAGCAGTCAGTGGAGTCCAGACAATGGGAGAAGAAGAATCTAGTCAGATCCATTCCAGTCGAGTCGGAGTACATAATCGCTGTATAGTTAGTCGTGTAGTTTCGTATTACTGCGAAATAAATTGTTGAGTTTTACGCACCCCGACTTTAATTACCGATCATCGTAACAATATAATAATTTGGTAGTTGGAAAAATTCGACGCCGTTTCTTCAAAATTGATGGCAACTATACTGAGGGTGACACAGAGTAGGTATGACTCTCTGTTATCAAGGTTCTTAGCCGGAGTAAACGAAGAGATATCCATAGTGAAAGATTTTTGTGGAAGTTTATACATGGCAAGACTGACTACCTCCATGTCAATTTTTACGTACCAAGATCTCTCTCTCGTCAGGCCCAGTTAGGTGAGGTACCTTCTTACTGCCAACACCAAGAACTAACCAATTTCGAAAAGCGCTACTGACGTATGTATACAGAAATGCTGGAAAATTATACAAAAATTTTTTTATTACTTTTATGTTCTACTTTTTCTTAATATTGTTTTACGAATTATAATATTGCCCTAGAAAAGGACTGTATGTTGGGCAATAAAGGTTATTATTGTTAATGTTAATATTATACTCGCTGCTTTGACTAAAAAAAAATATATTCTACCAATAATTTATTAATTAAATTCAGAACATGCACGTCTGCACGTTTCTTTTCCAATTTCTAATTTCTCAACTTTCAAAAACACGTTGAACAGTAGCAACAAAACTCTTAACGCACAACTTTTCCGAGTCCGCCTAAAGTAGGTTTTCTTTTGGATAGTTCTTGCCTTAAGTATCCAAAAGCGAAAGCAGAGGAAGCATCACGAGATTTGGCAGGAATGTCCTCATTTGCTATAAAGTTGATCATATTGATTAACAACTAATCTGACTTAAGTATGTAATCTGGATAACTGATTATATGATCTATGTGAGTTCGCCTCATCGTGACGAATAAAACCTTCCTGAACGTCCTCATAATACATTTTCCTTAATTCCTTCACACTTAGTTTAAAAATATACTCTACATAAAAGAAAGAATTAAATTTGGTCTTAGTGAAATCTTAATCACTGAACATTCTCGCACTCATTCTTCAGGAATTTTTTGGCCTGGTCTGACGTAGCATATCTTGTGAACACCAATACCTATCATATTCATAACTTAGTGTTCCGTACCTCGTCCAAATTCTGTTGCATTTCCTACCAAATATTTTTCAGTTTTCTTGTATTTGTTGTTGTGTCCTTGAATTTTCTTTGATCACCATATTTTATATCTATTTCTCTTAGGTTCTGGTTTATTTCAAAATTCTCAATTGAGACTTTAACTCAGTGTCTTTTGCCTTTATAATTTAACACATTAGATACAGTTTTATGTGAAACAAATTTACATTTTTCTTCTGGAAAGTTTTAATCTCCCCTTCAACAACAGAGTCGATAGTACGTCCCTTCCTTTTACTGACATATGTAACTGATTTAAATATGTACATACATTATACCGAGATGTACTTTATTCTGGTAACCACCGAGGTCAAAACAAACACAAACAACTTGTAACACACATTCTCATATTGTTGGTGTAAACTTAGAAATGTTGAGTCGAGCACAGGATTTCAGGATCTTATCATGTCTCACTTCTCAAGCAGCGTTTGAAGTGGTCTGCTTTGTTGAACTATCTGGACGCAACGTACGATGATACACCTGGTCCTCGTCAGTTTCAAGTTCACTCAAATAAATAAAAAATGAAAATAATGATTGCAGATGTACGCAAAATTCTTTCGTGTCCTGATACCAAATTTTACTAGGTATAAAAATAAAAATTGCGCCAAGTTTTGACGCGATAAGAGCATTTTAAAGCCCCAGTCTGCAAGGTTATTTTGGTGGTAGTTTTTAAGGATTGTTCGGTACAGGCTGAAACTTGCCATCATCACTCCTCAAATCAGTAAATGCCAAGCTTCAACTCGACTGAAGTATTTTCAATCTCAGTCTGCAAAGTTATTTCAGGAATACCTTTTAAGGATTCTTTGGAAAATGCATAAGTTTTGCGTTAGTTTTTTTCGTATAAAGGAATTGGATTCGATTGGAAGTCCAATCTGCAAAGTTGTTTCGGTTGCTTTAAAAACGGCTGAAATTTTGCATAACATTCCTCGTATTAAAAAATAAGCAAATATCAAGCATTGAGTCGATTGGAATATTTTTAAGCCCCAGTCTGCCAGGTTATTGTAGGGGTAGTTTTTAAGGGTTAGTCCCAACAGGCTGAAATTTTGCATCAACACTGTTCGTGTAGAAAGATAAACCAGTATGAACATTAGAACGCAGTTTGGGCTTTTTAAAGTGTCAGTTTGCAAGGTGAACAGCGGTTTGGAAATTACGCAAACATTTATTTATTCCTTAGATCATATAATGTGGTGGTATCTATTTATTATATGATCTAAGATTTATTCATGTTTCTTAAAGACGAACATTATAGTTTGAAATATTTACTGCAACCGCTAAAATTTATTTATTCCTTAGATCATATAATCTGGTGGTATCTATTTATTATATGATCTAAGATTTATTCATGTTTCTTAAAGACGAACATTATAGTTTGAAATATTTACTGCAACCGCTAACATGGCGTTATGTTGTTTTACAAAATTCTGAGAAATTAAATGAATTGTTGCTGAAATAATAAAAAAAACCCAAGGCGCCGAAGATCGAACCCGGACTTTTCACAATGACGGTTGTATCGCTGGGCCTTCATACTAAACGCTTTTCAAGTCCAGAAGATGTAATTTGTAGGACAGCCTGTTTTTCTAGTGTTTTCAAGTTTTTATTTGACAAAAGTAGTGAAGTCAAGCTGTCGAGAAGTATTCAATAATTTTGTCAAACAAAAAAGAATCATAATAAATTAAAAACTAGGTACCTGAGTAAACCATGAATATTTATTTGTTCGTAGAGGAAGTAGTGAATTTACTTATACTGATATTTATGGAAATAATAAATAGACCGAAAAAAAAGTAAAAATAAACTTCTAAAAATCTTTCATGCAGTACGTCTACCCGCAAAGCTTAGATCGGATTCTTTCGGATTTTATGTAAGGTGAGCGTTTTCCTGTACTTACTCGTAATGTCTTCTTTGAACACATGCGTTGCTACCTTTTGTCCAAAAAACACATGAAATACTGAAAATACAATTATTAATCAATGCAGTGTGTTTGACTTCAAGAATTACTACAAAACTTTCGCCGTTGCCGAAGTTACGATTCATCCATGATTCACTCAAGGTCGGTGCTGGTGTGCTGCTACTTGGGCTCTTCCCCTTCGCCTCTTGCCCCTCCCACCACAATCACACGCTACGCTATAGCCGAGTTTATTTGTGTTTTTATGACGTTGGGTTAATTTGCAGTTTGTACGAATTTATGTAAGGCGAAAAAGAGAAACATATTCAAAAATACTCGAAATGTTGTGATATTAGTGAAAAGAGTGAAGTTTTCGTTTAATTTTATAAGTGACAGTTTAGGTTAGGTAAGTGAAGACAATGGTTGTTATTTCTAGGTGAAGGTTCCAAAAATGTTAATGTTAATAAGCTAACAATTTGATATCTGCAGGCAAAAACCGAACGTTATGTTTGCGCATATTGTAGTGTTACATTTGGGATTTCATGGTTCGTGGCACGGTCAAATTGCACAACATGAATTCTGGATTAATAAAAATGAAAAGTTAATTAATTTCCACTGTTTCACATTACCACAGCCCCACCTAAATTATAACGATTTGCGCTTCTTTTTTCTTCGTCACAAATAGACCAACTTTTCAATGCAGGCATGTTTTTTGATCTTGACAAATTAAAAAAAAAAGTTCATATTGGTGCATATACCTACCGCATAGTTACATAAACTTTTTGTTATACGTTACAAGTATTTAATGGTTGATTTTCATTAAAACTAAAAGTTAAGTCATTTACTAGACTTCACCTGCTGTCATAAATTTATGGTACAACATTTAACGAAAAATCGGCTAGTTCAAAAAAATCTAAGCAACAATAGTGGTTAAACCCAGTTTCACATTTTATTGTTGTTATGGATGGATTTATTTGCAATACCTGCAACTGTAACACTTCTTGATAATTCGCGTTAGCGTTATTTTTATAACTATTACTTATCTTTAATCCCTGTGAGTCAACTTCACTCAGCACTAATTGCGAACTAGCAGATTCCGCTTATTACAAAAGCCTAATAAATGTACCTATTTATTAGCAGAGGATTATAATTATAAAATAAAAATTTGAATTAAACCGGTAAACCGGCAATTGTAAAGAATTATTGAGTTATATTTTTTACGGTATATATCACATAAATTGGTACTAAATTACAAACGCTTATTAAGCTGTTATTAGGAAGTAAAACGGTAAATGTTTCCTTGAAAATTGTCGGTAATTATTTTGGTAGTTCACCAATTCATTTATCAAAAGTTCATCGTTGCAAAGGACGATTTTTTCTGATTTTATTGACGTATGTACTACTGCCAAGAAATAAAGTAACAGCAAGACAAACATCTGTTTTGCAATAAAAAGTAATTTATTAATGAATTTTTTTTTAATTTAAAAGTACGCGTAGACTTTTTAGTTAATAAATTAAGATGTTTTACTATTTTTTTTGTTTATGTTGTTTTAAAAAAATGTAGATAATTAACAAGCAGCAAACTGGTGACAAAGAAAATAGGCGAAGGTTATTTCGACAGAATTTCCCTCACCGTGAACAACAAATCACGTTTGAAAGATTTTTGTTTTGTGATAACCTCTATGAACTAAACATCAGTGGCGTCCATAACACCCCCCTAGCCCCGCCGCCACGGGGCGCAAATTCCAAGGGGCGTGGTCTGCACAAGTGCAGACAATATGAAATACAGTGTCTATAAATGATATGCAGTACACGTTAGAATTTTTTTTTTAATTAAAGAATTTTGGCACTTGTAAGAAAAGATGTTTGTATTTACATAGTTTTATTTTTACAATCAAAATTTACATAAGTCAAAAAATGTTGAAAGTGGCTTACTATAAATGCAACCTAATAGTTTTACAGAGATATTGCGATGTCTGAATCATTTATAGACACTTCGTATATGAAAAAAATGTGTTATCAGTGCCTCTTTAACTTCGATTGTTTATACATTGAAAGAATGGGACGATTATTAAAAGGACATCGCAAGCGGCTAATTTGAATAATCTGTTTGTCTTCTCAGGCGCAACATTACAGTATTCTCTAATTTCCAAGAGTATGTGGTGAATCGGTTTTGATTTCATGAATAAAACAAATTATGACCCATTAGTTAACTGAACCAGCGACCTTCGCGTTAATAATTCAACATTTTTATCGCACAGTTACAGTTTACCAGACGTCAGTGCTCTTATACTGCTATAAAATGTGATGATGCAATTGAATTTTTTTGCGAAAATTTGGATACTTATAGTCAAAAATCAAGGCGGATTCATTAGAGATTATTTGTCTAATAAAAATCGACAGATTTTTTTTAGATAACACCAAGATAGACAACAGAAGAAAGACACGGAAATGTATATTTTTTCGTACCCTTGGGGTCATGAGAAAACATTAGAGTAGCCTGTGCAGCGATGGATCCCATTACAATACATACTTTCGTAGGTCATACTCGGGAAACAATACGGGTAAAATTCAAATAATCTATCTGGTCATGAAACAAAAGGCACAGTATATATCACCGAAATGTTTATTTTGTTATATAACTTCCCTCCTATTAATGCACTTAAGCCATTTTTTCTCCGACTGCTGAATACTCCCAAATATTGTATGTTGTTCTTTTCTTCAGCAACTCATCCGACCAAAATTGCTAACCTCTTGAGTGTTTTTTTAACCATAAATATTCATAGTTGGACGACCCTATGGTGGATGATCTAACTCCTGGATCAGGTTTTTCCTCTAACAAGTACAGATCTTATACATGTATCTTATTGACTCCTTTTGATATGTTTCATAGTATTTTGTAAACCTCCCCAGTAAGTGTAGGTCACTGGCAAATATTCTGTCAACTATTCTCCTTTCATATTGCAAAATTTCGTTTGGCTTGTTCGACCTTCGGAAACCGTGGTAAATTTACGGTGAAAGCGAAGTGCAAGAGGCATGATGATCCTGCTGGTGGCACTCAATGGGTTGATCAAACGAGTACCATGTTTTCTCCCCTTCGCATTGAGCATACGAGTGGGTCCGACCATCCTTTGAATTGGAAAAGCTTGCCTGGAAAGTTCTAAATTAGCCATGTCCGCGTGGGGGACGAAAGGACAATGCAGTTTTTTAAAGACAACTGGACGGGATGATTGATGCAAATATATAGCCCCTTACACGTAATGGGTCAAGTATCTCACTTAAATTTACTAATCCTGGATGTGATCACTCGTCGAACTCAGGACGCGCGGTACCGTATGGTCCTCCCGAAACAGTCCCACGTAAAATCAAGAATAATGTTGAGGGCGAGAACTTTCGACCAGACGAGGGCATTGGTGTCCAAGGAAGTTTGAACTTCTGTGACGCAAGCAGTTGGGATATTATGTCTTGCGGGTACCCACGACGGATCACTTGCTTTTCATATACTACTTCATTGCGACTGATGAGGAATTATATTCGTTTGAGACGTCGTAAGCTTTTAGGGTCCTTATGTGCAGACGAATTCTGGGATCCTCGAGACGTATCTCAGGCTCCACTTAGGCAAAAAGCCTTTTGATCATGTTTTTTTCCTGGAGGGACGCTTTAAAGCCTAAAAACGACAATGTGCAAGCTCGGTCTCGCATGAGTTTCGTGATGAAGGCCAAATTCGAGATTTTTTTGAAGATTCGCTCACGTTAATTTGGTCTCATGTCTATAGTGATACACCAAAATCTCATCACTAGTAGAGAGAAGGTTAGGATGTGCCTCTAAAGCAGTTAAAGATTGTTGATAAGTTTGTCTTCTCAGTTTTTGTTTAGGTGTAACTAATCATGGGATCTGTGCCACTTTATTCATGCGCAGTTCATTGTGGAAAATGTTCTAGATGCTTCCTTGTGATACGTTTTGGTCAGACGAATGAGCTAAATTTTTATTCGATGGTCTTCAAGAACTAGGGTTTCGACTTCCGTATTCATTGTTTCGTTTGTGGCTTCTGTATGTCTTCCAGGTTTTGCGTTATCTAACAGACTCCGTACCTCGTTTAAACTGCTTAGATCAAAATTTAACTTGATAAAGAGACAGTTTCAATTATATTATCTTTTGAATTAGAAATTATAATTATTGATGGATTACACTTGGACTTGTTACCTTCCTTTGTAACACATCGATCATGCTTCAATTTTCCAGTTTAGAATGACTCATTTTATAACAGAAACATTGTTTGCAGAAGAACCAATTGATAAAATTAAACAGAAGTGTTGAAGTACAATCACAAAAGATGAAACTATGTGACAGTAAATTTGGAAGTTTCTGACTTGTTTGTTTCATAGCTAGGTAGATTGAGTTCCCCTCGTAAATGACCGTGAAAAGTTGTTCACTGATGTTGCTGAGGAGAGTTCTCTTCAGTTTTCAGCCTTACGTTGTGTAGTGAAATTTTTGGGCCACAACATATACTCACTCTTACGCAATTTTAAACAACAAAGAATTTACACGATGTAAAATGACGTGTCATTTCATGTTTTTAATTATATCAAATCGCAATCACAAATTACCTTGTAGACCGCAAACGTCACATTACATACAACAACAAAAAAAAACACATTCAATACAGATAAAATCAAAATCATCAACCGGAAACACTGGGCGTACGTCGAGAATGCAGTCTCAGAAAACACTTGAGCCACTTTGAGGTCAAACGTAAAAATTTGAAAATTATTAAACCTGTAAGAAAACATTAAACTCATCCCGTTTTTCAAGTCTATAAGAGTATAAATTTAACCGCACTTTTCAAGGTCTTTTCTGTTAAATTGGACCAATTTTTAGATGAGTTGAAATGCTATAAAAAAACTATTAGCAGTGTCGAATTAGAAATTAAAAATTGTTCTACAATGTAATAATTAAGTAAAAACATTCAGAAACATAATTATACATAACTTGACAAACAAAAAAGTGAAGCCTGAATAAATGAATTTCCTAGCACGTGGTTTATTCGGACAATTTCGTGATTGTTAAATTGTGTTAGAACCAGAAACAGAACAAAATCTTAACACGAATTATGAATATATATACAAACAATAAACAAAATTTACATCACAAGTAGACAATCGGCGAAATTTCAGAATTAGAAAAACTGTTTTTACACTAGCGTCGTTGCA